CCCCAAAACCCCAAAACCCCAAAACCCCAAAACCCCGTAGTACAAGTAATCAAAGAAATTCAGCTTAATTAAAAAATAACATTCATCAATTTTATAATTATTTATTGGGTGCTATCTCACTCTTCAGGTTCCATTTATTCTTTAGGAGAACTTTTGCTAGTTATGTCAATCACCTTTCTCATAATTTATTTATATTTATCAATCCATTCCTTGCTCAGATTTGGCTTTAATTTCGGCCTAGCACTCTCAGCTGCTCTTTGGCTATCTCGGTCAAGATTCTATTCAAACTCTTATATTAGCTGATCCTCTAGTGTTTGAGTTTCTTCATCAATAAAGCTATCATCAAAAGCATCATCTAGGCCTGTATTAGAATCTCTAATACTAGCATTATATTAATGTAGTGAATCTCTGTTAAAATCTATATTAAAATCTCCCTTAAGGAAATCATCAGCATTTGCGATAGAAATTATCTTATTAATACAAGGCAATATCTGGTTGTTTAAGTATTTATAATCCTGCTCAGTCAGATTTCCCCCAAGTATACTATTGCTAACTCCTCCAGCACTATCTCTATTTTCCGAACCATCTTCTTTATTCTTCTTCTTTTTTTTATTTTTACGCTTCTTCTTCTATTATGCCTAGTTATCTTTAGTATTTCCAGCACCTAATGTATTTGTTAAAAATTAAGCTGCTATTATTTACCATTTGCATTTGAGGTTTCCTGTTCTATATACTTAATTACATCATTTATTTAGAATTTCCAAACATCAGCTGCATTATTAGCTGCAATAGCTGCATTACCTATCATTTGCGACTTTTCTTGAGGTGTCATGTTTTTCAACACATTTTAAGAAAGTTAAGATTAGATAACATTATTGCTCATGAATCCATCTTAAATAGTTATTTTTGCTTAATATTACCTGAGTCAGGCTGCTTTTACATCTATAAATCTCGATTGATTTTACTTTCTGCAAATTCTCGTATCCCTTGACTATTTGTGATAGCATTATTTATCTAGAAAGGTATAAAGATATTTTGAAAATTACTTAGTTTGCAACAGTTTCATTTCCATACTCTTCTGCTCCATCTTCTTCATCATCCTCAGCACATTCATCTTCTTCCTCTATCATGTCAGTTTCATCCAGTATATTATATTTAGAGTCTCTGCCATCATCAGAATCCTCGCTAAGATACTCTATTTTATCACATATCAATTAGGATAATCTGAGTCTCTTATCACTTTGCTATTGCTAATTATCATTTTCTATTTTAATACCTATCTTATGATTATCCTCCATTACATCATGGAGTTAAAAGAATTCCAAATGATAAAGATAACGATACCACTCTACCCATCTTTATCTCATATTTTATATACAGCCACTAACATTGTTCTTGTATTAGCTATTACAATTTCCTCCGATACCTCCACTGCTATACCTTATTAACTGTCTGAATTTCCGAAGTTAATTCACGAGATCCTCTTCAAAACTTTCTATGTAACATTGAGATTAATACTCATCTTTATCCAGTTCTCCATTCATGAAAGGAGTTTTAAGGTCTTCAATGATTTAATCCTTGAATTAAAGTATCAGTTTATTTATCAATGGATCTTGTAAAATAAATAGAACAAAGAAATTCTTAAGTATAGTCTTGAATTTCATCCCATTTTAAGCCCCATAGAGTTCACCTTGATATATATTTCTTAGTTTAAATAGTATTTAAAATTCATTTTCTACCTACAAAAGCTATTGTTTACTGACATCCAATTAGAATTGTATTTATCCTGATGATGTTTATTGCATATTCGTAATCTATGGATTCTGAGGTATAGCTTTGCTGGCATGTTGCTCAATTTAAAGCACTGAAAATGCTGGTAGTTTGTTGATGTGAAAATCATAGTAGACTTTAACGTTTTCTTTGATTTCTTCTGTCGTTGGCTTAAATTCTTTGTACTTTTATTTGCAATTTAGATAATAGTTCATAATACAGTTGAAGAAGTTTAAGTAAAATACCTTATTAGTCTCATAAGGCTTAAACAATAGCATTGTATTTCCCTATCCAGTTGCATTTGAGTTCTAACCGTAAACCATCACTGATTACAACCTTTAATGCAAATATCTCAAAGTTTTTTTCATACTTTAAACTACCTTCGCATAAATATGAGTTTCTAAAGTTAGAATATTTAGAGGAACTCTTTGCTGAAATTAAATCATTAGACTTGATTTCCCTTTGAAGTATGAATTATACTTTTCTGAGATTGCTTTAAGCATTTTCTTCTATTCTTTATCATCTATATGATTACTGCTTCGACTAAAATATCCTTTTAGAAGAGCATCTAAATCCTAATCAGAATTACATAGACCCTAAGCACCATATTCTTAGTCGATTCTGACTTTCTTAAGCCATCTGTACCTTTCATGCATTAGAGATTTCCATAGATAAGTCCCATTATGAGCGATAGAGTATGCAGTAAATTTCTAATCTCTGAGAAAGGCTTCCATTTTTTCTTTCCTCTCTTCCTCAACTGGAGAAAACTTTGAAAATATCTTATTTCTTCGATCATTTAAGTTTGCAAGTACCTCTGCTGGTTTTATTTTATTGTTAATTTTTTTCTGAGAAATTTCAAGTTATCTCATCTCATCATCTTTGACTTCTAAATCCTCACTGTTTATTTTAAACTTTAATGGCACTTCAATCTCCTTGAACTAATCAAGCATTCCTGCTGTCATCGGCAAATTAGAAATCTACTGCGAATAACTTTTGAGAAAATCCGAAAACTCAGAAGTTAACGAGTTTAATATCTGATTGTTTAGCTGCAAAGGGTCTTATGTCATTGTGCCTGCTGTCTATGTAGTTTATTTCGTCTTTTTCTTGTTCTTTTTACCTCCCATTAAAATTTAACCTTATAAATAAATTCCTATTAATAAAGATATAAAAATCTTAAATTTCTATAGTAATCTTTATACTGGGGTTTTGGGGTTTTGGGG